GCGCGATGTTTTCTGGCAGGATGAACTGTGCACCGCATCAGCGTCGTCGCATCGAGAAATGGGAGGGCCGAGGAGGGGGCGTGGCGCGCAGAACCGCCGCCGCGGGCAGGTGTGGGGCAGACGAGAACACACCTGGTTCAGCTTGTTGCAGAGGTCTATTGGGTTGATGTAGTCGCATTCCAGATCGGAGAACATGATGATCTGCGCGCGAGCAGCAGCATCATTGGGCAGGGCGGGGAGAGGTGAAAAAGGATTGATCGTGTCAGAATTGATGTAGTGGGATCGTGTGAGAAGGACGCACGAAGAAAACCATCGTAAACAGCAAGCCGGCGGCCATAAGCACGGCGAACAGAAACAGCCATCCTGTTCATCCCAACGTGCGTTCATCATTGCAGCGCAAGATAAAGCCAAGGATTCGCATTCGCAACGGAGCAGCAGAGTAAACGCGAAGTCAGCCCCACCCGACGCATAGACGCCACTTACGCACCTGTCGCGCACAGTGTCAGCGGCGGAATGTGCAGGAGAAAAGTATAGTAGCGTACCTGTTCCGCCCATCGTGACAAACGTTCAAGACAAGATATACAACAGAAAGGATAGCAGTGGAGGACGACGTGGACGAGGAGCTGGCGGCGTCGGAGGCGACACCAACGCGGATGGTCTAGGACTGTGTCACGCGGCGTGATACCTCATTGATGTGACCGTCACGCATTTTGTCACTCAGCCCGCGTGCTCATCCATCGTCTAGTTCGACTTAGTTCCTGTGTTCGCTTCTAGTTCTGGCCTTCATTTCCGTCCCAAACGCTTTTGTCTGGTGATTTGCTTGATCTGACAGCTGCTTTGCATAATATCCCCACACTGCATGGAATCTCTCTAGGCAAGGACTCTCCCAGGAGGTCGCGATTATGTGGGACCAAGAACGGCAAGCAGTCATACTTGGACTTGTCGCGGAAGGGACACAGGGAGTAAATTGGCAACCTGGTCCACCGTTGCGGACATTATGCGTCGTTTCGGAGGAACAGTTCATGGCGGATATCTCCGTCATGAACGTGTCAGCAGGTCATAGCAGAGATTGAGTACGCAAAAATGCGCTGACGAGCCACGGGCCGAGTTGCACAAGATCAGGTATTTGTAGGATACGAAGAACGCCGCGCAGCGTGCTGCTAAAGGTGGCATATAGTCTGCTTTGGTTTTCCGCGAATTGTCGCGACGAGATGATGTGCCAATGCATCTCCTCAGTATAAGAAGTACCACGGAATGGACTTGATTACCGACACTCATTCATCACAACCAGTCAACTACGGTATCGTTCAATCTAGACCGCCCGCAACTGAGGGCCGTGATGGGAAGGTGAGCGCGCGATCCGATGGTAGAGGCCGACCTGAGAGACGAAAGTGCGGTAACGATATCATGATCCGCATCGCCGAAACAGGAACGAAAAGTTTCATTGAGATGTACCGTATACATCACGTTCCGGGAAGGTCAAAGGAAGGTGCAGACGAGCGTTGCTCCCAATACAGACAAGAACTACCCAATACGGGTCGTGCCATTCCGAATGCAACAAAAGTGGTCAGGCGAAGGGCTTGTCCGTGGTAGACGATGCCCTGCTAAGTGCGCGGACGTGAAATGGTAGACGATGCCCTGCTAAGCGCGCGGACGTGAAATGTAACGCGATGCAAGTCGAATCGAAAGATCAAATGTGAGGGATATAGTACGTCCAAGGAACGGTCTCATACACCCCATAGGGCATCCGACGAAGTCCAATGAACATCTCGACGCACAAGATAGCCCGCGCACACAAGAACAGGACCCATGCGGCGACCAGAGCCCACTCCAGCTTCCGGACGTGCTTCTCCTTGGCCCCGAGCATCTGCAGGTACCAAGGGGTTTCATCTTCGTCGGAGAAATCCGCGGAGGCCAAGAGAGGAGGAGGATGGGGACGGCAGGTATTGCCGATAGCACCGCAGCCACGCGCCCGAGCACCTCCTCCGCTCTCGTAAAGAGTAGATGCTCCATGCGATCCAACGGCACGCGCTGTACGCAGGCCAGGCTGCGGCGACAGACACGCATGCCCATCCCACGGAGCGCGGTCCCCCGCGATGCCGGTGATCGAGCGGCCGAGGACCAGGCAGCTCTCGCGACGGCCCCTGCCGGGCAAGTCGTCGCGCTCTTTCGCAGCATCGGCGACCGAGGGGCTGTTCTGGCCATGCGTGCACCCGTGCAAGCGGACCTGGACCGGGGTGCAGACGTCTTTCGGCTCCGGCCAGCTGACCAGGTGTATGGCGCAGGCCGCGGCGACGTGCGTGGGGCGCCCAGCTCCGGCGTCGGGGTATGCAGGTGCGCGTGCCAGCGAGCCAGAGAGCGTGCGCGCAGGCGAGCGCCGTCGGAGTGCATCCGCCTTGCTCCGCCCTGATCTCGCGCGCATATGCGCGGGGACATCGGCCCACGCTTGCGCGATGGGATACCGCATCTCGTCCAGGTTGGCGGCTCTCTTTGCGTCCCCGAGCACGAGCCCTCCCATGAGCGCGTGAAAGCCCTCGACTTTGGTCCAAGTGCTGCCGGGAACGAATTAGTGTACACCGCGAGCTCCCGTCCTGCGATCTTGCAGTCTCCGACGGTGCGGAAGAACGTGACATCCGGGGGAGGAAGGTCAAGCAGTAATCATGGTTCAATTGGCTCGGATGGCTGGCTGTCCAGCCGCACAGGAGTAGGGTAGACAGCCCTGACCATAGGGGCCCAACGTCCCTCTAGATGCAGGTCCGGCGACATATCCGAACGAGGTTTGACGTATGCTAGGTCAGATCGGGAGAACCATGGATTCCTGTATAACTTTAACGCTGTATTCACTCGCGGGGGATGTCAACAAGGACAGTTGAATGTTCTGGTACAATCCCGCTCGAGCGTGACCTCAGGATCTGTTTCTCTAGATCTGCAGTGTCCTGTAGCTGGCAAAATAAGCCCGGACACGTCACAGAGGGCGCGCGTTCCTACCTCGGAGAGAGAAGGGGGGCGTCCTTGTCCGACCCATCGCCCCGATGCTCAGTATACGTATCGTCCACGCAGACCTACCTGACCTCGCGGGCGGTGCCTCAGGACGAGGCAACGCGTCCAGCTCCAGCCAGCCATCGAGCATCCGCAAGCCCAGTACAAGCCCGCAAAGCAGAAAGCACAAAGACAGAACGACACAAGATCGCTTACCCAGACGCAGCCGCCGAGTGCCTCTCGTATCCGCACCAGCTCACATCGGACGGACCTGGCGAGGCCGCTTGCTGCAAGGCGCCAGCGCCCAGGGTGGCGCGAGGGTGGCGCGCGCCGTATGAACGGACGCGCACGATAGAGGTGGGACGAGCATTGTGGTTTGCTGATAGTGCGATCAGGGGACTGCGAGTGCTGTGTGTCGCTAGACGCCTCGTTGAAGCTGGGCCGCGAAAGAGCACCGCACCGCCCCGAGGAGCACGCCTGATGATTGAAGAGTCGAATCGAGATGCCACAATAGGATAGGATTCGGCCTGTACTTCGTCGGCCAGTGACTCGCGAGCAGCCGCGTCTCAGTGGTCTAGACGCCTACTTCGAAGCCAAGAGCCAACGCGCTGCTCGCCGAGCTTCTCGCCCCCGTAATAGCGTCCGGAGGGCATATGACACCGCACGCACATATTGCGCAATTCTCGGAGGACGAGCATCGGGCGCCACGAGGCACAGGGTCAGTCATATCAGGGTTTCGAGTTCGCACGTCGGATAGCCCATACGTCGGATAGCCTGCGTATACCAGCTTCATGGCGAGTGAGAGCCCAGAGGTGCACAGGTCAACATGGAGCAGACACGCCATCAATTCGCCAACATGCGGCCCTAAACAGTGTTTAATGTCTCGTCCATTCACCTGGTCATAGCATCCGAGGAGCGCAGAACACCGGACGCAGATATTGCGCCATGCTCGGAGGACGAGCGTCTTGCACCGCGAGGCACAAGACCGAGCAGGATAGGGCCGCGGACCTCTGCAGAGGGCAGCCCGCGCACCGGGGTCTGGATACACCATCGTCCGGTTAGTCAATGTACCACTTTCCGGCGGTACTGGAGGGCAGCATGAAATGACGGCGTGCACGCAGGCGTCCCCGCATGTTTCCGGAGGTACGCGGTGAAGGAGGGATACTGTAGGACGGTTGTGCTCGCCTAACGTTGGATGCGGCGGAGATGCAGCTTGTATGTTGATTTTCGGACTTCTTGATGGGGGGGGTTCGGGTGATCCTTTTTCGTCGTCCTAGAGAGAAGCAGCGTCAAAGAAACCTTTAGCTGAGCGGGCTGAGCGAGTAGAGCGGTGGCCAGATGAGGGACGTTCCCCAGGGAGGCGATGCCCTGCCGGGCGTGCGGACGCGAGATGTAGCACGGTGCAAGTCGAGGCGAAGGATCAGAGGTGATGCATGCAGTGCGTCCACCGAACAGTCCCATGTCCGACGTTGCCGACGGACGTCTCGATGAACAGGACGCCGTATGCACACACGCGCGCTCGTAGCGTTGTCCGGCATGTCCCGTCTCCAGCTGTGGGCAGGAATCGAGCAGATCCGCTCGCCCGAGGAGAACGCCTCGACGACCGAAGATCCGGACCGAGGTCGCTTTCGCTGTTTATCGGGAGAGGTCTGCGCGTTCCTTGTTGGCCAATTTGGGAACAGCCAGCTGAGAATGCCCGGAGCGGCTCCCGCGTCGCTCGCTTGCGAGCCACCAAGCACCTCGCCCTGATCACTGATCCCAGCATCCGGAAGGTACACAACCCCGCACGCGTACGCTCGCGCTGGGTCGCGCGGAGGCTGGGGGCGAGGAGCGAGGAGGGGTTGGCGGGTCGAGACCTGGTTTGCTCGTCAGGCCGGATCGAGGGAGGGTTGGAATTTGGTACGGACTCGCGGAGGGTGCGGACGCGCGGAGGGCTGATATGTGCGCTCGAGGCGGGTGGAGCTGGATTTGGCCGTGCGTGGCGTGCGCGACGAGTGTGCGGGGGTGCAAAGGGAGGGCATGGCAACATGGCCGAGCGGTCTAAGGCGCTAGAATCAGGTGTGCGCCTATCTAGTCCGAAAGGGCGTGAGTTCGAATCTCACTGTTGTCACTTCGAAGGCGATTGAGCCAAACTTTTTTCATGCACCCCGCGCCTCCGCGCTTGCCCGCACCTTACTCGCCTAGGGGCGCAGCACACGCACTGCCGCAGCGTGCGGCCCAGCACCGCGGCTGGAGACGCTGCAGCTGGACGGACACCGCGCGCGCGCGTCCGAGCTGCGAGTGCGTCCAGAGCCCCGGCCGCGGCGATCGTCAGCGCGGGACGAGGACGTCGGCGTGCGTCTTCGCCCCCGCATGCAATGCCCGTCCTCTGCGCCGCGCCACCGTGGCCCCGTCCATCCGCACGCCCCCCGCCGCGCAACGTCCCGCGATCAAGGCCGCCGTCTGCTGCACCATCGAGCACGGCCGCCCACTCGCGAGAGGGCCGCCGCTGCGACCTGCCCGCGCCCGGCACGTCGTCTGTGCACTTGCTACCCGGTGCGTCCCCTCCCTCGAGCGCACCGCCCGAGCCCGCGCCGGCGGCTCACGACGTACCGCGCCTCCCCCGCCCCGCCCTCACAGTATGGCCGCCCCCGCTTGCGCGGGCTCCGTGCTCTGGCCCTCCTCGCTCGTCGTGCGTCCCTGCCAGCGCTCTGCCCACCCCGAGTGGGCGTACCTGCTCGCCGCGCGCCCTGTCCCGCCCGTCTCGCCTCTCTGTACGCGTCCTAAGGAGCTCACGCGGGCGGTGCGCGGTCTCGCGGCGCCTGGCCCTGTTCTCGCGTGTCGCGGTGGGTCCGAGCTGGCCGGGCGCGAGGCGGTAGCAGGGCAGCTGGGTGCGTTCGCCGGAATCCGTGCTGTCGACAAAAGGAGGACGGCAGCGCGAACGAGGTGATCGACACATTCCTACGGTACGCCCTCTTCTCTGCTTTCTCTATGCCCGCCTGTGCCCGCCCTCGTCCTGCAACGCCTCTATGCAACTGCCCAAATGGGCTGCCCCTCTCGCCGTGCTCGGCCCCTACAGGCCTACCCGCCGCAGCCCTCCGCGCCGCGGCACCGTGCCCTGCAGACATATTGCACCCGCACCCTCGATACGCGGCCTCATCGCCCTGTCCTCATGCGCCGCGCGCCGGCCTCGGGAGTACCTCTCCCCGCCGCGCAAAATCTCAGAGATGGGAGCCGTTGCCTGCTTTGTCTGCGAGCACCGATGCTGGGCGTCCCGCGCGCCGTCTGCTCGTATTATGAGCCCCTCCTCTCGCGCCCCGCCAGATCGCCCGCCGCCCGCCGCGTAGGTGGCCTAGGACGCACCGCGCCGCCCTCGCCCCTTCTGCCCCCCTTCGTCCTCTGCCCGTGCAGCGCAGCGCTGTCTCGTCTCAATCCACCCCACCTCGTTCAACGCGCGCGGCGCGCGGGTACCCCCGCCCGCCGACGCCGCCCCATCGTCGGGTGTAAGACAGGACAGCTGGTCGAAACTAGACTACGCCGCCAAATCTAGACGTGTGCTCATCGCCGACGACCCGAACTGGGGCGGAGGACGGAGGATGTGGACGAGTTCGTGAACTTTGAGTGAATTACGTGTCTCTTTTACGTTCGCACTACTTCCTCTCGAACACCTTTTTCTCCTGCATCGTGCACCGTCCCTATGCACGCACTGTGCTTACAGTTCCTCTCCTCGTTATCAAAGCCTGCCTCTCAAGACCTAGGCGCACACGAACTTGACTAATATGTATGTGGGTCCTCCGTATGAACTGAGTCCGGGTGCTAGGATATACGAAACTATCCTCTTACTCCTCCCCGTCCACTGTGCCTACAGCCTTTTCCGGAACGCCTCTGCAGACGAGAGCCTGGAACATGCCGGGCCCAGGACTCCTCGCGATCCCGATCTCCCGAACTCCCACACACCGGCACACCAGCCTTCCTCCGTGCGTTGCGCTCGGACCAAGACTTGTCACCCATGCGGACGTCCCTCCGCTCTGCTCATTGTCAGCAAGGGGATGCTACAGACGAACTGACCAAAAACCTTCTACAGAACGCTGTTCTATCACATCGATCCCGGCCTTCTCTCCGATGTCCTGCGCGACGCCTCCTCACCCCAACTATCAGCTCCCCCTGGCCGGTCGGGCAAGATTGGCAACCTGCGCATCCCGTCCGAACGGTTCTAGGACCCAGCCCGTTAGTCCCTCCAGTCCCGCGCCACGCATGGTGCCGAGGCGGCCCTGGATACGGTCCTGGCATTCCGCGAGCAGATCGCCCACCCATCGGGGGGTTCCTGCAAGGTACGGACCAGAGGAAGCATCTCTGCGCTCCCTGCCGTCCATCGGCTATGCTACCTCCTCTCGGTCTCTCCGTCGTTCGATATCTTGCTTTACACAACCCCCCGCGCCAGTAGTAACCGTCATTTCTCTCCGTTTACCACAATTCACTTTCCGCTCCCGCGAAGGCTCCTTGGCGCTGTCTACCGGTCGTCCTGCACGAAGCCCTCCGCATCGCGCCGTCTCAGCGCGAGGAACTTGGCGGCGACCAGTATATCGCCGGCCCTCGCGCTCTGCACGCCATCTGCGGTACCCGCGCGGCCCGCGTCTTGGCGCCGTCTGATGCCGTCGACGCCGCGGCGCGCCGCGAGCGCCGGGAGGCCCCGGCCTCTGGCGCACACCGCATGGGGCCGCGCCGTCCATGTGCGTCCTGCGCCGCGCGCGCCTTGGCCCCGGGGCGCGCTGCGACCTTCGCGCCCCGGTCCGTGGTCCCTCGTCGCCGGTCGGGCATCCGCGCTGCTACGCGGGCCGTCGCCTCACCCCGCACATCAACGCCCGGCCCCCGGAACCTGGACGGCACCGAGCGTCGTGATTCGCCGTCGCCTCGGCTTGTCGCTGGGTGTGCGCACACCTCTGTCGGGGCGCGGTTGCCGAACCCCGCCCGACGAGCGCCTCGCGTCGTCGGGGCGGCCCCGTCCCGGTATGCCACCCCTGGAAGTCCGTCGGCGCTGAGCGAGGCGCACGAGCACTCGCATGTTTGGGGCTTCGTCTTTCACCGCACCGCACGCCGACGTCGATCTCGCTCGGAGTGCTGGACCGTATCTGCGCGTTCTGCGTCGTGAAGGCCCATCGGATAGCGCCAAGACGCTCCGTATCACAGTGCTGTTTTGAAATGGAACCAGACTAAGTACCGCTTGTCATTGGCGGGATGGACTCAGCAGGGCTCGGCACGCCCTCGCCAAACGCCTCAGCAAGCAACACCGATCCTCCTCCACCTTCGAAGCTTCAACACCGACGAACAGCGACCAGCAGCAACCGACGCCCGACGCCGCCGCCATGTACGCGTCCCGCTTTGTCCGTGCTACTGCCACCGTGTCCTCGGCTCTCCTCGCTATCAGCGTCCTCAGGAGCTCGTGCTGACGGTGTGCGTGCAGCCTGTCAATGAATGAATGTTTATTCCTGTTCTCGTGTGTCGCGGCGGATCCAAGCTCACCTGGTTCAAGACAAGACAGCGGCTAGCCGCCAATTATACAGCCCCCACGGGTATGTGCTGGTCGTCGACCAAAGGATCACGGAGGTTGTGAATGAGACGGCCTACAGTACGCCCCCTTTGCTCTGTTTTCCTTGCGCTTGCTAATCGCCCGCCCGCAAGTGGCTGCAGTGTCTTTTCCCCCGCCTGCAATGCCTATATGCCATCACTCCCTCTCATCGGCCTCAATCTTTTACCCGCCCTGCGTGCCTTGTGTGTAGATGCGTGTAGTGCTCAGAACTGGCATCGGAGGACCCAACAGATAGCGCTAAGACGTTAGGTCATTGACAGCATGTCCAAATGCGCTATGTTGCAATCTAGAAATTCTTTGCGACCATCGTCTTTCCGTGCGAGTTGCAGAAGCCCAGAAGGACGGGGTGCATCCCTCGAACATGGAACGTCGAGGGCTGAGGCTGGCCGCCCGCAGTATGTTTTTGATCTGGCTCTGTAGTGTGCTGGCTCATCGTTCGCGCGAAGCAGGCCTCATGGAGGCCGGCGAGTCCGTCCTACTGGAACCACGTGCCGGAGCGGAGTGTATATCCCGGCGTATACCGTAGTCTTGGACATTCTATGGGCTCGAGTTCGTTTTGATCCCGGGGCGGCTCGTGCTGGCTCGTTGGTCATCACCGCGTAAGTCTTTCTGTCGACTGTCGACAAACGGCGAGCGTTGTGAATATCAATGAGTCCATGCACGGCCGGGAGGTGGGAATCGGGACATGGGCCGGCTCGTCGTCCAAACAGAGGTCGCGTGATGGTGCATGCGTTCCGAATGCGGCGAGAACGTGTGCCATGAGTCTGTATATCTGTCTTCCGTGCGCGTTGTCGAATACAGGAGCTGTGTCTGCTCTGCAACACGTGTTTGCGGTGGTAACACGAGGCAACTTTACCTATGATACCCCGTGAGCACGATAGACCGGACCCATGAGACTCGTAGAAGTTCCGGCGGGGTCTGGTAATAGCACTCCTATCCTCTCCCTCCCAGCAGTCGTTCTCATCACTCTCTTCTGCCATTCAAATCTCCACGACAATCCGTGCTCGATGTCGTTCTCCTCGCTCTTCGGGCGCAAACGCCGCGAGAAGAAGAAATTCAAGCCAAATAGACAAGGTCCATCCATCACGACGGACGGAGAGCAAGCTGTACAAAGTGCTGTCGATACTCCGGTCCAGGCAATCTCGTCTTCGCCTGATCAGGTCCTCCCCGCCCCTCAGGCTGAGGAGATCAATCGTATTGATGCGCGGGGCCCATCATCCTGCGTGTTCGAGATCGACGTCTCGGGGGAGACGCCTCCACGGCAGATCCACCAGGACGTACAAGTGGACGGCGAAGTATCCGTCACATCTGCACCTGTCGGAGATAATTCTGGACGGTCGATTACTGCGGACGTACCCGCCTCGACATCTCATTTGAGACTGATTTTCATGGACGCTCTGGAGAAATACACGCAGCGGACGAACAAAGACCTCACGAAGCAGCCGCTGGTCGCTAAGCTTCAGCGGTGCAATACGGTCAACAGTGTCATGGATGTCCTCGAAGAATGCACGGGCGAGTTTGTGAGATTCCGGAACGGCACTGCG